TGCTTGATTACCTCCTCCCCAAAAGATGATAGTATGGCTGAATAAGAAGGGCTAAGCTCTGCAACATCGAGGAATGGTGTAAGAATGAAACCGTACTTGCCAATTTCTAGTATAATCTTAGTCTAAGAATCTAGATTTCTACCAAACAACTTCTGTTTACCAATGTAAGCCATGTATTACACTAACTCCCTGAATGTTCATAAAATTTTACAGCGCAGAAGGTGGCCATTTAGCCCATTGCACTGGTCCGACCTTCCCCACCAAAGCAAAATGCTCCGATTCCACTCCCTTGTTCTTTACTTGAAGTAAAAAGTATGTATTTTGTGCTACAAGGCAAAGAACAAAAGTAGATTGTGCAAAGACATTGCTTTCAAGGAGAGAGAGATATCAAGAATCTTTGAATTAATACCTTCTTAAACCAACGTAACTACTACTATGCTATCCTGATAACGCTTTTTCAATATTTTCTATGAAAGTCCCCAAGGTCCAAACAAATCTACCTAAATGAAACACACATTTGCATTGATTAAAATACTAGTAACGATAAGTCAGAAAGTTTTAAAAATCAAAATATCAAAAAAAAAGGAAATATGTTAAAAGTTTTTGTCCAATCCTAAATTCTCTAAATTTATATGCAACTGTGATACAATCATCGTTAAAGTCAAAAGCTAGAGATTATAATTATTCATCTAGATCTGTTATTCTAAGGAACTAAGGCTTCTTAGTCTTGGTGCACTGGCTGGGGGTTTAAGGCAAGGTTGAAACCTACTGATTTCCCATTCTGAGTCAATTAGGACTAAAGAATGCTGAGAATGCTTTGCTCCTTTTGAAAGCTCCAGTCCTTCAGAAGCCACTCGTGGAATGTGTGCAAGTTTTGTTAGTGCTATGGAATATTTTATGCAACATGTTCCATAAAGGCACAATACCTAACATGTTTTTTTTTTGTCATGTGTCGTTTATTCAGTGCACCAGATATACAGCATTCTTTCATTTTAACATAAATGGAAATAGAAAAGAGCACATAGTCATTACACCTCCCCCACCTGACTTGTGTACATTATCTTATCGAACACGCATTTTATGCCTATTACCTTATCCAACTCACATTTTCCACAAAATTCATTCATTCCGTTCCTTGTAGCACCTGAATTTCCACAGGGATTTCACCTACTGACCTAACCTTACAGTTTTTATGTAATAAGCATTTTATTCAACACATCATTATCTGTATTTGTTGGAAGCACATTTAAAATCCACTAGATTTGGTGGTGGGGGGAGGGGGGGAGAGGAGACAGACAGACAGACGAATGTTTCTTCTGGTCTCGAGGATTACTAATTCCAATTCTGCATTGAGTTCAGATTAAACAGCTTCCCATTATTTTGAAGGCCCGAATATCACATGAAAAGTTTTTGCATTTTTAAAAAAAAATGTTCAGTGGTCTTTTCCCAGGTCTTTGCAATGGAGCATTAGCTAACTGAGTTAGCTTCAAAATAGCACTGCCTGCTGTGTCTGTGAAACTTGTCTCGCTTACATTGTGGTGACAATTTCTACAGCACCAACAGCAAATTACAACAGTCAATTTCTGGCCACTGACGCTTCCCCAATTAAGTAATGTTCATCATATAGGTTGCAATTTCCTGGTAACTGTTTGGTAGCAGCGCAATCAAAGGCATATTGCATTTTTCACTGGAAGTGTATATATAAGAATTGCCAGACGAAAAAACACCAAGGTCCATCTAGTTAATTTGTTTAGGTTTCAGAATCCAAAAACTTAAATGGTGCTCTTTAAAATGACCAAGCTTCTTGGTTTTCCACACCGAAGAAAATAAATTCAGACATTGTTTGGAGGGCCACAGGAAAGGGAGAACCAAGCAAAGCCCATGAGGGTAGGAAACACCAAGATTGAGGGTGGAAGCAGAATTCAAAAAGGCCTACAGTCAAGAATTCAAGGTAATAAGGCATAATTTCCCAATATTCCTCACTAAAATCAAGACTTATTGTTGTCACCTCGGAGTCAGGACTTGCAACTCATATAGTTTAAGCTGACACTCCAACGGAGTGCATTGTTTAACTAGTAGCAAGTAGGGATCCCGGTGTTAGTCAATTGATGGGTTGCTTTCTGGGGTTAATAACCCAGCAAAAAAAATTGGTCACTCAATCCATGACTGTTTGTGGGACACTGCTGTTCACAATTGGCTGCTGTATCTCACCCACAAAATACAGTCAATCCACTTTACAATATATTCTGTGAAGTGCGTCAATGACATGATAAAGTGCTATATCAAATAAAGATTATTATTATTGTCAGAGGTGCCATCCTTCAGATGAGACATTAAACCGAGGCCCTGTCTGCCCGTTTGAGTTTCTCCTGGTATCCTGGTCAACAATCCCCAAATAAAAAATTGTGGGCATTCATAGCCTTTTGTGAGACATTGCTGTGTGCAAATTGGCTGTCGCGTTTACCCACAAAACACACTTTACAGTATATCCTGTGAAGCACTTTGGGATGTGCTCTGATGTGAAAAGGCGCTATACCAAATGTAAGGATTAAGGGGGTTATTGGTTATTTTTAAACAAAGGGGAAGTGCTTAAAAAAGATTTCACAAAGAGTGTTGTTTCCCTTTGCTAAGCATCTTACTAAAGTGTAACACTGAAATTGTAACAAGCTAGCCACAACTACTGCAATTGTTCTGCATATAAAAACACACATCCTCCTTTTGAATCCCTGAGCACAGCAAAATCTATCAACAATTACACAATGACCAGCTGATGGCAACATTTTCTGAGTCATTATCTGGATGGAACTGAATACCTCAGAAGAACATTCAACAACAACAACAAATGACATTTGTATAGTGCCTTTCACATCAGGGGGACGTCCCAAGGCGCTGGACAGTCACAGATCCGCACCCGAGCTGGTGGTTGGGATCAGGAAAGGTGGGTAGTGGGGCGGGGAGAGTAGGGTAGGAGGGTGACCGAAGGCACGGTCAAAGAGGAGCTTCTTGAGATGGGTCTTGAAGGAGGTAAGGGAGGTGGCAAGGCCAAGGGACTATGGGATGGAGTTCAAAAGGGTGGTGGCAGAGAGGCTGAAGTTCCGCCTGCCAATGGCGGGGCAGGCAAGGCAGGGGACGTGAAGCAGGCCTGAGCCCGCTAAGTGGACAGTTTGGTAGAGGGTTAGGAGGTCACAGAGGAGGGAGGAGCAAGGCCGTGGAGGGCTTTGAAGGTGATGATCAGGATCTTGAAATGTATCCTCAGTGATAGGGAACCAGTGGAGTCGGGCAAGGATGGGGGTGGTAGGGTTGCGTAGCCTAGCGCAGGAGAGGACACGGGCTGCAGAGTTCTGCATAATCTGCAGCCTGTGGAGGGAGGAGTTAGGAAGGCCGACAAGACATTCAAGGAATCTTTACTCATTCTTCTGCAAAGCAGTTTTGCAACAAACCTTCTGGCACGATTTCTAATCTTTGATATATAGCACTCCACAATCTACCCTATGACAAACTGCAAAGAGAATTTGTTCACTTCAGGGGCTCCCTTCAATTTACTGCCATATCTTGTTATCTCTAATGTAGGCCATTCTCACTGGTTCACAATGCAGTAGGTCATTGAAGCTTCATCTAGGTTTCCCAATATTTAAGATGAACATCCTTGAGGTTCTTCACATGAAGTTCTGGAAGCTTACAAAAACACTGGGGGTATCAATATTTGATGCATCACTGTTGCACAGACAAAACCCACTCCACTTCATAAATAGGTGTAGCTGCTCATGAAACCCAAGAGTTTCATCTCAGTAGTACTTTATGTATGCTGGTAGCAATCTAATTCTGTTAGTGCTGCTATCCCTACCATCTCTCTCGACACTCAGTCCAGGGAGATCTTTCCCAAATCAAATAACTTTTCCTTGTGGGAAATAATGCAAGTCTCAGTTGCTGGCTTATTCACAGGACACACACTGCTTCTCTGTTCACCTTCTTCTCAGTCGCCTCCATCACCTTCATCTTAAAAGTTAAAAGTGTATTGGAATAGATGTCATGCTAAATGTAAAAATGTGAGGTCTTGTGTTTCAGACCCATTTCACCAGACAGAATGTGTTGTACATAGACTTTTACATTTATAGTGGAATTATAACTCCAGCCACACTCACGCCTAAATTAAGACGAGAACAAGCCACGCTTTGTGACTTTGTTTTTCTTCTGAGCAGACTGGATGCAAGAACTTCAAGCCTGTAGACCTTCTCATGCATTTCAAATATTTCTACAAGCTCAATTATAACATATCCACCTCACTACTTTTGTTTTTTTGGGTTTGGTTACCACCTTTCATTTGTTTCAATTCCTCAATAGTTCACAACTGAAAAAACATTTGTCTGGTAGATGTAGAATTCACCAAAAATCACTCACCACTCTTTTTCTCAGCAATATCTATCACTGTAAAAATGACCAGGTGCCATTCCAATACAAGAAGTGAAAATGCCTCACGACTAAAATATCCACAGGTTACAGATGTGCGGCCAATTATATCAATCGCTTAGACTTCTTTCTTCTGTAGAGTTTGAACAGTTCATTTAATTTTGAGGTCAATCAAAGGCCTATACATTCATTTTCGAATGGCTAGTAGGTGATAATTACTGACAAAATACATTTGCTCCAAATGAGCAATACTAGCAAATAGCTGAACTGCTGAGTTTGTCTATGAATATCTTCTTGTGGCCAGTACCAAAAAGAGAAAAAATATAATGGCAAATCAGTCTGTTATTATTCTCTATATTCACAAGTTAAAGGAAAGCAAAACCACCAACTAAACAGCAATAGGATTCACCAAAAAGCACTCACCACTCTTTTTCCCAACAATATCTATCACCATATACAGATAATTCAAAACAAGATTTAAGTTTGATTTCAGCACATAGGACAATTTTTGTAGGTTGTCGCGACTCAAAGCTAACAGAAAAGGTAGACACCTTGAGAAATTTTTGAAAGATTACAAGGAACCTGATGTATACCTTTACTCCATGACCAACATCATCCAGCACTGTGTAGTCTATTGGTTTCCGAATGTATCTCACTGGTCGTTCAACACTACCCGGTGCTATTATTTTATGAGTTCTAGATGTGTTCTTGTTGGTGGTCAGAATACCGATCTCTCGCCGAGCCACCTTTTCTTTGTGGATGTCCACAGTCTGTTTGGAAAAATGAAAACAGTTAGTTTTGCAAGCTATGAATCTAGATAATAAATAAAAATCCATGTATTTGATGTAGTAGCCCATCACATTAAAACAACTCTTCACAGTACTTCACAGAATTCTCTGTGAAGTGTAGTAGTTATCTATAGGCAAATGCAACAGCCACTTTGTACACAAAGTCATGTATTCTAAATTTTATGTAGAGGGCAGTTGGCCAGGACACTAGGAGAAATTTCTTCCTTCTTTCTCCCAAATAGTTAGATTCTTATGCTTTCAAGAATCTAAGGTTTCGCTGCTTAATAGTCCAGCCCTCACACAATTCCATTTGATAGAGCACATTTCATACTAGAAGAATGTCTCAAAGTACTTTATAGAATTGCTCTAAAATTTAGTGACTGCATTTTGTCAGCAAACACACTAGTAGCTTGCTTCAGAATTTGAAAACTTGAAACAGCATTCTTCTATTAAAGACATCAAACACAAATCCTCAGGTTTGGGGGTCCAATGGTTTGAATGCTTTTACTTCACTTTTGTAAAGAGTTACAAAAGCTCGACATTGGCAAGTATAAATTTTGTATAACTTTTTGAACTTGTTACAAAATAGTGTGCTGCCTAATAAAATCCATGGGTTACCTACTGGACTACTTTCGTCAATTAAGCCTATCATAAGAGTTTAAAGCTAAAATTAAAGATGTTAAGCAATAGGGAAAAGGTAATAGTACACAAACAGGAATATACCACTGCCAAAGCATTGTGAGAAATGGAGATTTAATTCCCTAACCCATCTAGATGCTAATCTCAACCTTAAATACATCAAGCTTTATAAAACTTACTACACTGTGTACATGGGGCACTGTAACTATTGATATATGTAAGGCTAATTGTTACCCATCGCCCATTTTATACCTTCCATTTCACTTCGCTTCAGTACTTTCCCCAGCTAGAATTTTCCAGGATCAATTTATCAACAACCATGATTAATTAATTCTGTATGCTATTTCATAGGAAGTAATCCATTGCTATCCACTTATATAGCCTGCCTCGCGCAACATTAGGTACTTTCTTCTAATGCACATCAAGTTCCATCTCAATTTGAGTTTCACACATATGGGGAGATAAATGATACAGGAAAAAAAATGAAAACAAGAACACAACTTAATGGGAAAATATGCTAATCACTGGTTATAGTACAACAGTATAATAGTTAAATTGTTTTGGTGACATTATTATAGCCTGAAAGACAGGATTATAATGGCCAGCCAAAAATCAATGTCAAGCTACATTTGTAATGATCTATTCTCTTGACAATTATATCGGGCAGAGAATACTACCAATACATCAAAGGAGAACTTTAAACAAGAGCAATGTTAAAACCTTGCTTCTATAGTTTACATTTCAAGATTGAATGTCTGCTTCAACCCTTTTTTTCCCCCCAGTAGATTTCTGTGATCTTGCATTTATGTGCCTTGTATAGTTTCCAATATTTCCTTCATCTATCTTTACATCTGAAATAGCAGTTAGTTTGAGCACAATGTCCAATTTATAATACCCAAGTATATATAGGATTGCCAGGACACCTTTGCGTTTAGGCTTTCAATTTCAAGTTTTCAACAACAAATTATTTTGTGTCAAAGAGGGTGTAGGATTAATCATGGCCAAAAAACTGGTTCGAGCAAATACCATTAGTTTTCAAACAAAAAAAGTGATTCATCCACACACAAGTTAGTTGTATTTTAAGTGGGATCTAATTTGCAATCACACTTTCCTAGGTGTTGACAGCATCAACCTGCATAGATGGAACACAGTGGAGCTGGAGCAAAGCCTTAATGTATTGATTTCCAACATTATTTCTAACCCCATATCTGTGCTCTTACTTAATAATAATCCTTGCATTTGACATAGCGCCTTATCACGTCTTCTCGACGTCTCAAAGCGCTTCACAGAATATGCTGTAAAGTGAATTGACTTGAATACTTGTGGGCAAAACGCGGCAGCTAATTGCGCACAGCAGTGTCCCACAGACAGCCATGGATTGAAAATGACCAATTTATTATTGTTTTTGTTTTTTGGAGGGATTATTAATAGGCGTGTGGAGTAAGGAAACTTGCCCACGTTTTGCCCTGCCTAGAATTGAACCCAGGTGTCTCGCTTGCAAGGCAAATGCTCTTGAGTACTTGCTCAATTTTTCCTCAAATCCAGTATTTTTCGTCAAATCCAGCTCTCCTCAGGCCACTGAGAACCTCAACAATGCTTTTCACCTCAAGTCTACACCAACACTCTCCTCGCCGGATTTCCCAGGTACTGCAACCCTACAAATCTGTCCGCTCCCTTCGCTCAGCAAGAATTAGCCTACTTCATGTCCCCCACATATTCACTCCACAAGCGGCAGGCAAACCTTCAGCCATTCTGCTCCAGTTCTCTCAGACTCAATCCCTCCTCATTCTCAAGATGTACCTCTTTGATTGCATTTTCAGTTATCTTGGCCCTCTCCACCCTCTCAGCTCAGGTGCCCAGTCAGCAGTGAGAAGTGCTTTAAGATATCCTCATGACGTGAAAGGTTTTATATAAATGAAAATTGTATTGTGCAAGTTCTGGGTCAAAAGACTTCCATGGCTGACTTGCACCACCACTGCAAGACCATTTGCCATATATTAAAAAAAAAGACTTGGACAGGACAGACAATGGGTCCTTCCACTCAAGTTATGGTTGAAACCAAAATTAAACGAGTTATAAATACTTTGCAAACTAATGAGAAAGTTTCAGAATGGTGGATTTGAGAATGACCGCAGACCAAAAGTTAAAGAGTATCTAACTTTGCAAGATGCACATCTTTCAATTCCTCTAACAGATGTCCAAACTAGCCACATAGAGGCACCCACATTTTATTCTCTTTAGTGGATTGCTAATGGATTGCACACTGAATTGTCTATCCAAGAAACTATTTTGTTTTTGGTGAACCTGACATGAATAATGCTGATGCAACAATACAATTAGTCAATGGTCCATTCAAAATATTTATTGATTTTTTTTTTAAGAGAGCAACCCTATACATGATTTGGCTGCATAGTTTAAGAATAAATTAGTTTGAGAATATTTTGATAACTGTGGGTGGAGACGGAGATAGTTGGGCGTCATCCGCATGCATGTGGAAGTTATCCCCATGCTTGCGAATGACATACAGAATCTAAACACTTAATAAAATCCCCCAAATTCCTTAGTCAGAATGCCTGAAGCAACATTTTCCAGAGGAAACATCAATTTGTTTTAAGAGCTGAACTATTTTGCCCACAAAATATACACTCAATTCACTTTACAGTATATTCTGTGAAGCGCTTTGAGATGTCTAGAAGACGTGAAAAGCGCTACATCAAATGCAAAGATTATTATTTCATCTTCATTTCATTGTCAAATAACCTCCTAAATGCAATTAAAACTTGCACGTAGAACCAAAATCCCTCAGTGTATTGCAGGGCAGTTAGCTAAACCGTTCAGTTAGGTAGATATGGGTGTGGGGGAATGTTATTGAAATTCTGAGATCAAATTGTTTTTCTGAGTCAACCAGGTGTCCGACACGTGCAGAAACCCATCACGATGCTTAGAGTATCCAAAGCAAACTGAGAAGTTACTTCAAATAAAGTTTAGAATTCTTCAAAACACTCCAATCCAGTCACATGAATTGTCTTAATTAAAATGTAAAAATCAGCACTTTCATAGGGTTCTTCCTTCAAACTATGTTTTGATTCAATCTTCGTAAATCAGGAGACGGTAATTCCAAGAGCTTACATGGAAGCTTCCCATGGTACTACGCAAGCTGAATTGAAACATCTTTCGCAATTTTTTTCTGCCGCAGCTAAATGCCAATGCACACCTTCACAGTCTGCCCATCACTGTAACTGTGCCCATTCATTCGTATGATTGAATCACTGAACCAAACTGTTACAAAACAAAGAAGTGGCACAGTTTTAAGTCACATACAATGTGTTCCATAATTCTCAGAAAATCACTCAATATGCCTTAACATGTTCAGGTATGATACATCTCAGCCCTATATTCTGCCCCCCAAACACCCCACCACCAAACAATAAGGTTTTCTGCAAAACTCCCACAATATATACATAATACATATATATCATATAGTCCTATAGTTTAGTGGTTAGAGCACTCGCCTCGCAAGCGAGAGGACCTGGGTTTGAATACCAGGCAGGGCGAAACGTCCGGCAAGTTTCCATACTCCACCTGCACCTGTTTACCTAGCAGTAAATATAAACCTGGTTGTAGTGAATTGGCAGATCGCTTTTCTGGGGGTAATAATCCTTTTTTTTTACGTGTCTCGGAGCCATTATAAGGGGTTATTATTACATAACATTTACATTTCTATAGCATCTTTCATTTTGGGAAGATTTCTCAAACTGCTTCACAGGATATACTGTGAAGGGCAGTGACTTGTTTTATGGGTGAATGCAGCAGTCAATTTGCACACAGCAATGTCCCACAAACAGCCATGAAGTATATGTCCAATTTAATTCGGGGGATTGTTGGCCAGGATACTGGGAGAAAGAAACTCCCTTCTCGTTTTGAATAGTGCCATGGGATCTTTAATATCCATCTGAACAGGCAGACAGGGCCTAGTTTAATGTCTCACCCAAAGGCTGGAACCTCAGACAATACAGCACACGCCCATCATTGTATTGGAGCTTAGACTATCAATTCCAAGTCCCTACATGTGGCTTGAACCCATAAAGTTCAGACACAGAAGTGAAAGGGCTACCAACTGAGTCAGGCTGCATCCTGGTTGCAGACGTCTGAAATAGTAATGACTGCCTGTGCCAAGTTTGAAATTGAAAACTTTCACACATTTGAAATCTGATCTGTAAGTGATTCAGTTTACATTAAATTCTTTATTCCAGCGTTCTAAAATGTGGATATGACATCAGCTACAAGACAGGCTGAACATGTCATCTTCTCCACCTCCCTTGCCCTCTCTCATCCAAATCCGT